ATTCCTGCTTTCTTTGAGGTGTTACAGTTATATAAAGCTAATTAGCTCCTTCCTCTGAGCTGAAACTGTCCACCTTTTTTGTGGTAGTTTTGTTCCCCTCCTCTGAACACCTCCAAAGGCTTCTAAGGTCCAGGACCTTGTAATCTGCAGGATAACAGAATACTTTCAAAATAGGTGAATTTCAGATAAAAACTTCCCTTGATCACTGTGCTGTTGCTGCATGTGTGCTTCCTTCAGTCTTGTTTCTTGGTCCAGCAACTCTGCACCACTTCATGTTGAATACTTTATCATTTTCTTTCTCTTTCCTTTGTTCAGCTGCTTTGGCTACACCTTTGCTCACCAAGCAGAGCCACTGCATGGGCCTGAGATCTCTCTTCTGACTGCTCGGGGGATTTGTTAGCATGCTCTGTGGTACAGATTTGGCCTTTCTCAGCCAGTCAGTGCTTAGCCAGGATCCAGGGGACAGCGTGAGTCAGCTGCTGGTCCTTGTTGATGGGTTTGGTCCAGGAAGGGGAAGAGATTTCAACTGTATGAACAGTGCAGCACCAAACTGCTTCCCCTCAAAGCTTTTCTATTTGCTGAGCTGTAGCCCTTAAGACGTGGGTTTTTTGATTCTGCTGCATGTGGTAGGCAAGTCTGTGCTTTTCTTGCAGTCTCCCAGACTTGGGCAATGCTGCAAATTCTGTTTGTCTTCTTACCCGCTGTTTGCTTGACCCATGGCAGCAGTGGCTTCTTTCAGTTGTTTGAAGAAGCAACCTAAGCTATTTTATCAGTCTGTAACAAAAGCTGAGGAATATGATCTAAACTGGCAAATAGAGCAGTGAGATTTAGGTGCCTCACATTTTTATGTAGTAGATTTATGTTCAAGCTGTGAACACCTGTGCATCAAGTTACAAAAACATCCTGGTTAGACTGGGGTTCTGTCTTAACTTCTGTGCTGACTTACCATGTGTGATAAGTCCTATGTGTGTTATCGTTTATACTGTAATAATTATTATCAGGTATCAGGATAGCTGAAGTGTGATAATTATGAATGTGTTATTTATCTGATTCTGAAAGGTGCTTTTTTGCTTTCTGTAAAATCTATCTTCCAGTATCAAAATAAAGGATTTGGAAAAATAGCATTAACTCTAATGCCTAAATTTGTTCCAAGAGTGTAAATATGGAACAGTTTGAGATGGGATAACTTCTGTTTTCATCCAACAGCTTTGACATAGTCTGTGTAACTCTACCAGCTACTCCTTGCTTTTCTCACCAGGCTTTGTGTTCTGCTTTCCCTGTTGTTCTTGCTCTCTGTTTCTGTTGAGCTGTGCTCTTCTCTGTCCCTTCATAGTCTTCTGCCTCACTTGTCTCTGTACTGCCCTTCCAGTGGTCCATGCAGCTCACTCAGAGTATGTTATCTCCGTGGTCATCTCGTTCCCATCCTTAGAGTACATCTTTTCTGGTCATAGTCTGCCATCCACCACCACAATAGGGAGCGGCTGGGAAGCCCTGCTGTGCCTTCCTGCTTTGATCATTTGTGTGTGTTGGCCATCATTTTACAGCCTTTACAAGAGGACTGCTCTTTTTCTTTTGTGTAAGACAGTCATGAATGGGCTGTTGATACTTAGCAAATTATAATTAAAAAAAAAAGAATAAATCTGCCATTGAAACACATGCAGTTCTTGTATCCTGTCAAATTTTCACACTCCATCCGACAGTGCCACACTAATGCAGATAGCAAGGAAGTATAATACAGGGATGTGGAACAGCAAGGTGGTTTTTGGCAGAGGGAATGTAATTAGTTAAGCTGGAGTTCAGCCACAGAACATATAAAATACTCCTTGGAAACTGCTTAAGCACCTCTATAAAATGTCACCCTGGCCTGAAAAATAAAATGGGTGCAATGTGACTTCAGAAGCGGTACATTATGGATCCCATATGATTGTAACAGAATTCCTGACTGAACTTGTAAGAGTGTGATTTGTTGGGGGATTTTTTGTTTTATTTTTTATCAATCTATAAACCTGCAGTTAGGTTAAGTTCTTTTATCCTATTGATGATGGCTGTCAATCTAGTCTGTCCAGCCATTGAAATGTCCTCAATGCTCACAGAAAGCCTCTGGAGGCTGGTGACTGGATTAAAAGCTTGTGCAATTGAGCTTCAGCTGCTGAATGGTAAAAGGCTTCTCCGAAGAAGATAAAACCACCTTTGGTGGTTGTTTTACTGAGTTACCCAGCACCTTCCAGTTTTGTTATTGCCTATGCCTAAGGAAACACCACCACGCAGAACAAATTGTGATGCTTGCTCAACAGAGAAGTTCAGCAGTGAAACAGTTCCCATTCATTCTAGTAAATGAAGCCCATGGGTCTTTATAGTCTTTATCAAGTCTTTAGACTAGATATTAGGAAGAAATTCTTTACTGTGAGGGCAGTGAGACACTGGCACAGGTTGCCCAGAGAGGCTGCGGATGCCCCCTCCCTGGCAGTGCTCAAAGCCAGGTTGGATGGGGCTTTGAGCAGCCTGGGCTGGTGGGAGGTGTCCCTGCCCATGGCAGGGGTTGGACTGGATGAGCTTTGAGGTCTGTTCCAACCCAAACCTTTCTGTGATTCTGTGATACTATGAAATGGATGGGTGGATGAGACCAGCAGGAGACTCTGGTCTGTCACTTGTCTGTGCTTAGCTATGATAACTAGAAATGTGCGCTGGTTTTCAGATACCTCTATTGCTAATCCAGCCAAGGAACAGGAGCTGCTACCTTGAAATTAAATGGGTTTGAAGGCACATCTCTATCAGCACTCAAAGGTGTCTGAGTTGTTTTCTTTTTTATTTAGGATTCTTCAAGGGACATTCGGGAAGCACTTCATGAGCTGCTGTGTTGCACCAATGTCTCAACTAAAGAAGGCATCCATCTTGCACTGGTGGAGCTGCTGAAAAACCTAACCAAGTATCCCACCGACAGAGAATCTATATGGAAGTGAGTGTGTTCAGTGTCCTTGTGTGTCTGCTTGTTTTCCCATTATTTTTAGTATTTCAGGCATTAGGCAAATACTGAGCTAGCAAGGAGCTGGCAGGTATTGCAGATATGCAGTTCTGTTATTCCATAAATATTTGGAACAGTGGCTACACCAAGCACTGCACATATTCATGCTTGATGTAGAAACTCTGTGTTATTCTTCCTTGTCAATACTTGTACTGGGAGTCCAGAACCACTGACCACTCCTGGAAATAACCCTCTATTATAAGCACTCAAAGCATTCCCAGAAAAGATAATTTGAACCTTATCTCTTCTACGCAACTAATATTCTGTGCTTACTTGACACTGCATTAAATAGTAATATTTAGCAGCAGTTGCTTGTATGAGCTGTGACAAGTGGATTGGCTGTGTGACATTGTGCTGTTGAAGGAACTTTTTCTGTATGAACAAAAATGATAAAGATTTGTGTGGGGTTTCTCTTGGTTGTTTAACAGAAGCAGCAAGGGAAGTGATGTTTCCAGTACACGTGGTTTGAGATGGAATTCTTGGATATTATTGGAAACACTTGTTTTAGTCTGTTTTGCTTTGCAGTGTGCTCTCACATTGTTTTTGGAGTTTGGTGGTGTTTGGGGGTTTTTGGGTTTTGTTATTTGGTTGAGTTTTTACCTCCTTACTCCCTTATTTCTGAAGGAAAAAATAAACTTATTTGTTAGCATTTAGTGTGAAAGCTTTTCGTGTGTGGTATAGCTCCAGGTGTAAAGTATTTCTTGGGCAGTTTAAATGAACAGTTTTTGTCACCGCTTGCTTTTTCAAGCTGTCCTCTCAGTTGTCTTGGATCCTATCAAATATTAATGCAAATACCCAGCTGTGAAGACAACAGTAGGCTTGGACAGTAGGATTTTGATGCTGACCAGTGCCTCAAAGTGCTGCTGCAACATAAAGAAATAGTGCTTTAAAATATTGTATTTTGCAACGTATGTGTTTACTCAGAAATGTTTCAATCTGTGTGTTTCCAGATGCTTGAAGTTCCTGGGAAGTAGACATCCCACTTTGGTGCTCCCCTTAGTCCCAGAGCTGCTGAGCACTCATCCCTTCTTTGACACACCAGAACCAGACATGGATGACCCAGCCTGTATCCTTTTCACTGTTGTTTTGACTCTAATAGATTTTATTTATATTTTCTTAATGGTTGCATTTGTTAAACCATTTCAAACTCCAGCAGACAATCCTGCAGCTATTTCTGAATCCTTTTGCCACTTAGCTTCATTACTCAGCAAGTGATGGAATAACTGTTATCTGGAGCCATCTTCATAAATACCAGTGTGATATAATTGACCTTTTTTATGCTGTGACAAATAATATGTTTATCAAGCAGTTTGTCAAGGTTTAGGCTTTGCAGATGAGTCCTTTGTGAAAACATTTGTGTAGTTTGCACTGATGTTGAAGATGCTTTAGCTTTTAAACAGGAGTGGTTTTACTTGTTTGTTTTCTTTTTGGTAAAACTTCTGCTATCCTCAGGGTTGTGCAGTGCATAGAAGAGCACCACCTCTTAGTACAGCAGTGGCTGAATCTCCGTAATGCTATAAATCTATCGTATTTTCAAAATAATTCAAAATCAGAAATCCTTATATTAATATTAGCTCTTTTGGTGCTTTAGAATACAAACTATTATTGTTATATTATTATCCTTAACAACAGGAGATGCCTTGGAAATGTGAAATCCCACTTCTCCATTGTTCATTCTCCTTGTTTCCCTTCTGGGTCACTGCAGAATGCAGTGTTATTTCTGATGCGTGCTGAGAGATGTTAGACTGGAACAACTCTCTTCCTCTCCAAAGCTACTCCTTATTTCTCCCACCAGCCACAGGCCATCAGCCAGAACTTCTATACAGATTAATTAAATACCTTGTGAGAACTGAAAAGGGCTAGAATCAGGTGGAGAGAAAGATTAATCCCTAATCAGATAGTTGACTAATAATTTGAGTGAATTTGTTCTACGAGTTGAGAGTTGAAGGAACGTTGCAGAGGGGAGAGAGCTGTTACTTAGCTCAACGCACCTTCCTGCCCTTAACCAAAGAGTATTATTTGAGAGAATGTCCTGGAGGTAACCTGCCACCAAATTTTTTGGAGATAAATTTCTGTGAAAGAGAGGCCTGGGAGCCAGAAACTACAAGGTAGACCTGAAGGGTGTGTTTCCCTTGTAAACTGTTAATTAGAAACATGATTTTGTCTGATTCCAAGCACTTAGCAAATTTGAGTGAGATTAATTGAATAGCTTCAGCTGCAAATTTGGAAAGAATTTTGAGCAAAGAAATTGGTTTGTTAAGCAGAAGCTTGGCAGCCCATGGATGCAGAAGATTTTTGAGGAGGTGAGAGATGTGGGTTCAGTCTCTTCTGTGGCTGAACCTACTTCTTGCCTGTGCAGGTGAGAGCCCAGGTGATCATAAGCTTTGCATTGGGATCCTTTTACACTCTCCTGTTGAAAATCTTACGCTTGAGGTCACCCTGTTGTAGGGCAGTGCCTCAGCCTTTGGGCTGACTGGGCCTTTAGCTGCCCTCTGTCTTTGTCTGGCTCTCGGAGTGCGAAGATGGTTTTTCTGTTCCAGAATTATCTTTGTAATCGATTCTTTAGTTTGTTTTAAGTCTGTGTAAGAGGGAGTTTTTTCAAAGCATGACAGGAAATGCAGCAATTTTCAGAGTTGGGGGTAAACGTTTAATTTTAGGTGATGTTTGGGTACCAAACTGGTGAGCACAGTGTAAGTTTTGAGGAAGAGTGAAACTCTACCTAATGAGCATATTCTGCATCTATAATCCCCGGCTCCTCTCCTTTGTGTCGCCTCTGAGCCATCCCACGTTGGCAGTAACATCCTTCCTCCAATATGGCCCGTCCTGTAATGTTTGTGCTTTGTACTTGGCTTTCATCTGCTCCAACAGCTGCCTCTGGCTTGTGCTCAGCGTTCCCCAGCTGTAAAGAACGTCCTGAGCAATCTCCAGCAAAGAAAGGGTTGCTGAGTTGCTGTTTTAACTTGCCATCCCCAGGGAGCTCTTCTTGCTGTTGTTTATTTTTCTTTAACAGTCCGTTTCAATAGACATTGCTGTGCTGGTTCTGATTTTTAACGCTGCTAAAAGCTGCCCAACGATGCCTGCCCTGTTCTCTGACCATACCTTCAGACATTACGCCTATCTTCGGGACAGCCTCTCTCATCTGGTCCCTCCGTTACGAGTAAGTGGAACCTGTTTGGTTTATGCTTGGCCACTCTGTTAAGAATATTGCTGGTCTCTTCCCTGTCTGTCGGTGTGTAACATTTAGAGTCTAAAAAGCTTTTTTTCTCCTAAGCTCCAAGCAAATTAATATTAAAATGTACATTAAGTAAGGACAGCCAAATATTAAATTGTTACAGTATGGATTTGGTTGCATTTTAGGGAGAATAACAACATTATTTCTCTCAAGCACGTGATTTCCTGGTTAGGAAACAATTCTGGGAGGGCAGGATTGCTGGGAGCTTTCTGTAGCACTGACTGTGGGGAAGGGGAGCTCAGCCTTTGTAGATCTTCCATATTTGACTTGTGTCCTACCTAAATGATTTACTCACGAGTGAGCTGTGCTCCCTGCTGCTTTGAAGCATGTTTTTCCTACAGGTTGGACATAAGTCTTATTACAGCTCATTAAATAAATTGCAGTTTGTGTGGTCTTGGATTTCCCTTGGCTTCGCAGTGTCATAGTAGATGAGGAAGATGTTGCCTTCAAAGGGATGTTGAAGGTTAACCTGAAGATCTCTAGCTGCAGGTGAATTACAACATGGAGAGTGTTTACTAGCAAAGAGAAAGGATGTAGACTTGAAGCCCTTGATACAAATTCTGAATTTGAGAAATAAATCAGAGCTCTCAGTTGGTAGTTGTTAAATAATGCGGCAGCATCTTACAATGTCGTTACTAGTTTAAGACTTTTCTGTATACATGTGTTTCTCTCTTAGTTGCCAGGTAGGAAGCTGGTGTCCTCCCCCGTCTCCCCCAGCATCACACCACATGAAGATCCTTCCCAGCAGTTCTTGCATCAGAGCCTGGAGAGGGTTTACAACCTCCAGCACCTCGACCCGCAGGGCATACAGGAACTGCTGGAATTCACCATCCGGTAAGGCTGCAAGCTGACCTGTTCATGAGAAGATCGACTGGGATTCCCAGTTTCCCTGAAGCAGGTGCTTTGCTTCTGAGTATCAGTGTTGTACTTTGCTGTCAGGCACTTGGCCTGAGACTCCTTCCAAAGAACACTGTGATTAAAAGGTATTTGTAGTCTTCTTGAAACAAAACTGATGGTCTCAGCTCTTGCTCTGCCCCATTCAAGAATGTTTGTGTTTTAGGGGTAAATCTTTCCAGAGCATGGTAAGAGGCAGGTAAGGGTGCTCTTGGACTGTTCACTTATGGTAAAGTAGTTCTCTGCCCCTGTACAAGTCCCTCATTTTGATAGTTGTATTTTTAATGTACATGTGCAGGATTTTTCCATTTTGTTTTTCTGGGAAGAGAGAGTTTGTCCCCTTTGTTCTTCTAATTTCCACGTCCTGTGACCTTTCACCCAGCAGGAGAGGACCTACTTCGGGTGCTTTGTTGGGTTCTTATCGCCAGTCCCGTTTATAAAGGTGTTTGGCATTCTTCATCAGCTTGAAATTCAGAGAGAGATTTTCCTGGAATAGACAATATTCTTGTGTGTTGCTGTCTGCTGTTGTGTAGATAAGGGCGTACAGGATGGCTTCTGAATGTGGGTTTTATGCTGTGTCTTCCGTTTCATCTCTAGACTGATTTACACAAACAAAACACCTTGAAAAGTGTTTCAATGTGATTCCTGTGCTTGGAAAGAGGAAAAGATCCAAATTTTGAGAGCTGGAAAAACAATCTAAAATGCTTTGTTCAGAATATGGAATTCCGAAAAGCTTTATTCTTTTCCTTCTGTGCTTTTTCTGTGTGTGTGTAGCTGTAAATTGCTTTCACACCCACCTGCAGTGGTGAATAAACAGTGTGCTCCTCACTGAAGACCCAGCTGTGAAAACTGTATGGTTTGTCCTCAGCTGTTTTGAAGCTACTATACACAGCCTAAAACGTAGTCTCAAAGCATTTAATGCACTAAATTAACAGATAATCTCTTGGCAGAGCATCCAGAATTTTATGGGCATGATGAAGGTCTGGAAACCTCACAGGCTGTGAATATTTTGAAGTGTAGGAATCATGTCAGAGATGGCTGCATGCCTATCTTATATGCAGTAAAGAATAGTAATGCTTTGGTGTTGATGGAAATTGGCTTTTTTTCCTGCTGGGATCACCACCCAGGAACCAAACTAAACCAGCAAATGTTTTCCACCCTTAAGGGAGAATTTAAGACAAAACCAAAAGAAGTGTTAGAGGTTATTTAAGAGAGGGCAAGAGTTTCCTGCACTGAAGGTTTGGTTGCTGAGAGGAGAGGGACAGAAGCAGCTGACAGCAGTGGATTCTGCAGTGGGACATCGCTCCCTGCTCCTTTGTCATCGGGGGAAGCAGAGCAGACCCTCATGCTGCTGGTGGCTGCTTGGGACTTGCATTTCTGACTGCGCTCAAGACTGACGCTCTACCCCCCAGGCTCTGCAGCTGAAACTCTAAGACAGGCTTTTTAGCAAATCGGCCTTGTGGTTTAGTTTCTCCATCTCTACAACAGGATTTTTTTTTTTTGTCCTGCAGGGCTGTTGAAATCTGTTCAAGATTTGAAAAGAAATAAAATTGGTGGAATTGGGAGCCGTAAAAGACTGGGAAATGGAAATAGCTGCCTAGCTGTTAGCTGAGAGATGGCATCCTGCTCCCCGTTAGCGCACTGTGATGCATTAAGTGTGACACAGGCACCCAGGAGTCTGTTCTGTTCTCTGGGAAAAGATTAAATGGAGTCACTGCAGGGCTCAGGCTGGCTCTGCTGTGGCTGCACTGAGGGAAGGCACAGCCCCTCTGCTTAGGAGAGATTGTCTTTGGCTGCAAATTATGCAGATAATCTCATGGATTTTGTTGAATGTGTCAGTGGTCAGCAGTCTTCTGGTTTGGCAAAGTCAGAGTTTCAGAATTGCATCATAAATGCAAAGATAGGTCTAAAATAGACAAAAGGAAAGAGTCATCTGAAGAAAAAATATTCTTTTCAATAATACAGTAGGAAACATGGAAGTAGAATGACGATTTTAGTATGCTTTGGATTAAAGTAAAATGCAGAAAAGAACAGAGATGTGCTGAATTCCTGTCATACAGAACTGAAAATAGGTTGGAACAGAAAAAGAGTTTTGTTTTCTTAATACACACCTTTGATTTTAAAACACGTCTAAGAGTAGAGAACTGAAGCCTTTTTGGGTTCCATTATCTGTCATTTTTTTTCTGTGAAGTTAAAAGCTATTTCTGTAGCTGTATGATTTACAAGAAATACTTACACCAGACAGCACACAGCAGCTGCTTGAGCAAATATCACTACATCGGATTTCAGCTTGTTTTAAAAAAGCAGTTATATTTCGAATATGCTTGGTTGCCTGAGCCTGACACGTTCCAACCAACCTTTCCTAGCCAACGTGAACAGTTGGATTTCCCAGCAGCATAACGCAAGTGGGTCGTTAGCTGCTGGAGAAGTCTGGGCTGTTTTAGTTAAATCTGGAGCTGCTACGTTGCATGGTTCCCATCGGGCTGCAGAGTAATGTGGGCTGACAGACTTACTGCTCCCACTGCTGTGCTGTGTCAGCCTGCAGGAAGAAAGGAGATGCCAAGTCCCAGGGTGCAAACTGTTTTGTAGCGCCTGTTTTGCTGCTGTTTCTGGGGCTCGTTCTAAGGGTAAGAAAAAACAAGATGCAGAAATAGCTGGGTTCATTGTTGCTGTTGCTGCACTGTGAGTGCAGGTAGATTAACTTGCTGTCTCAATGGGGTTTTTTCCTTCTTTATTTCCACATGCTTCAGTGATCTTCAGAGGCTTGGAGAACTGCAGTCAGAACTGGCAGGGATGGCAGATTTCACTGCAACGTACCTACAGTGTCAGCTGCTCCTCACCAAGGTTTGACTTCGACTGCGTTTCTTGGGTTCTTCTTCAAAAACGCTCCCAGTCCATCACAGTGGTGCACTTTCTGTTTTGATGTTTGGGCTGAAAACCAATGTATGATGAATGCTCAGGTTCTGTGGGTTTCTGATGTTCGTGCTTCCCTTCTGTGCCAAATAACTGATGCGGTAACTTTGCCAATGGGTCCACCAGTCCAGATCTCTGCTCTATCTTGGGCTTATGTTGGTTCATGTGCATTTTGCCAGTGCAGGGTTTATTTTCTGACAGAAACCACGATGGAAGCAGCTACTCTGTAGCCTTTTACGTTACCAGAGTAACTTTTCTCTGCTAGTGGCCACTGGAATGCTTTTTGCTAAACTGCTGCTGTAAGTGGGGTTTTTATAGACAGACAATGTTTTTAGACAGCTTTTTTGGCACCAGTGCCAAAGGAATGCTTTAGGCTTGATTGAGCAAAATATCAGTCGTGCTTTCTTTTACGGTGCTGAAATGATCTATCTATTTGCTATTAGCAGATTAAGTGTTTATTTCAACACCATGGCAGCAACCCTTTTCAAAGGCAGCTTCTTGCTGTAAACAGGAACTCAATTTTTGCTTCATTTCTCAAGCTATCAGCTGGCAGCAGTATTTAAGTTCAGTCTTCTGGCATTCTCTAGGTGTTTGAATGAACTTACACACATGTAAAGCAAGAACTAAGCAAGCAACAAACAAGTTTCCAGAAGGGACTCAATAAAAGCTTTGTTATGCAAAATCAAGAGGGGATTTTGGTTTCTTTGCTAAGCTGCCAGTTGGCAGATCTCATGGCAGCCCTCAGATCTTTGGAATCCGTTTATCACCCAGGGAAGGTATTCTAGATGAGTGGTGTTACAGTTCAGTACATCCCTAGCTAAATCCCAGACTTTTGCCAAAACAAAATGCGCTGTCCAGGCAGACGACCAGCGTTTGGAGGTGGCTTTGTTGCCCTTCTGCAGGGTTTGGCTGGAGTAGCCAGCGTTCGTTAGCGAAGAGAACGATGCTTTGTGTATCTGGCAAAGAGGAGTTTTGAAGAAGGGGGTCAGCGCTGCACAGGCCATTCTTGGCTCAAGCTGTAGGACAGACAATACAGCAGTGATGCAGAGGAGTCAGTAATGTGGTTGAAGTGAAAAGTAGCTCATAATATACCATTAAAAATTCTGATATGGCAGAGAGAACGTAAATGTCAGAGCAGCCCTTTTCAGTAGATTTCTTTCCAATTGCTTCTTTCCCCAACAAAAAGTATCCTCATTTCTCAGCCTATTAAGTCTCAAAAGGTTCCAGACCCTTAAAGGCTCTACGTGCCTTCTGATTTTAGAGGTAGTTGGCTGGGATTCTGGGGCCAGCCTAGGTGAAAGACATAGTCTGTATGTTCTTGAGCTTTGGCTACAGCCAGCTGTGTGTGTAAGGCAGTTTCAAAAAGGAAGCAGTGATATAAATCATCCAGTCAAGCTTTCTTAATTTTTTAAAACATAAATCAAGAAGCAAAGAGGGTGTGGTTGGGTGTCTGGTTTTGTTTGTGGTTTGTTGTTTTTAATACAAATTGAAGTAGCTGATTTACACTTGGTATTCTTAATAAATCCAGGATCTCTGGTGAGGTGGAGACTGTCAACAGGCACGTTCAGAAATATGATTGTGTTGATGTGTTCCTGGGGACGGTTCTTAGTGATTCCACGTTTTGCCAGTGATCTGAGATTGCCCTGATCTTGGCACCAAGGAGGTGAAAACACAGGAGGCTGATGTTTTCTAATAAGTGATTTCATTCTGCATAAAGTTCTCCTTAAAAAGTACTGAAGAGTTTGGCTCAGCCAGTGTCTAATTCATAGTTTTATTAATATTATTCTGAACTTCTGTTTGATATTCTGTAGTTGTACAGGTACCTCTGTGTATTTATAGAACAATATATATTTTGGAGGCCTTGATTCCCTGTGTTGTGTTTAAATGCACCAAAGACCCCTTGGCCTGCTCTTTCAACCCACCTGTTGGTGTGCAGGGGCATCTTCCCTGCTCCCAGGCCCATCTAGCGCAGGGTTATGATGTCTATGCTGAACTGGGTATTTGTCATCATTTCACGGTTTTCTTTTGTAGGCCTTGCAGGAGAAGCTGTGGAACGTGGCAGCTCCTCTGTACCTGAAGCAGAACGCGTTAGCATCTGCTGCAGCGAAACAGGTGAGGTGGAAACATCTGGGTCTGCGTGGAGGCAGGTCCTCAGATACGAGCCCTTTCTTGGCCGTACAACAATAATGTGCTTCTACTCTTCCACTGCCATAGTCTGTCCAAGTAAATTTTAGTTCCACAAAGTGAAGTAGTTTCTCTCATCCTCAGAAGATGAGTGGTGAGTGGTGGAGGTTCATGACAGCTGTAAAAGGCAAGCATTGCACCCATCTTCCAGATAAAGAGAACTGGGGGACAGCAGAAACTGCTTGTCCTCACCTCACTCTTGGGGAAGGTTATGGACTAAATCCTCTTAAAAGCCATTTCTAAACAAGTGAAGGTCAACAAGGTGATTTGGAACACCCAAGATGCATTTCCCAAGGGAAAATTATGCCTGACCCACACCATTGTCCTCTGTGATGAGGGGACATGATTTGAACAAAAGGACAGTGGGTGTCACACCTCTTGACTTCAGCAAAGCCTTTGATGCAATCTCCTGTCATTTCCTTTTCACCAAACTGGCAGGTTCTGGCTGCATAAGTGGGTGATAAAGCTCTTCCAAACTGAGGAGCCAGTTGATAATGCTGGAGGGCATGGCTGGTGTGGACAGGCTAGGGAGTTGGGATGGCAGGAACCTCACGATATTCAGCATGGGGATCCTGGTGGACAATGTGTTGGACATGAGGCAGTAAGGAAGGCCAACTGCATCCTGGACTCTCTTAGCAAAAGTGTAGCCAGCAGGTCTGGGGAAGTGATCCTTCCCTTTTCTTCAGCTCTGGAAAGACCACATCTGGAGGGCTGTGTTGTGTTTTGGGTTCCCCAGTAGGTGGAAGATGCTGTCAGACTGGAGCAAGTTCAGCAAAGGACCACCAAGGTGTTCAGGGGCTGGAGCACATTCACTGCCAGGAGTGGCGGAGGGAACTGGGCTTGTCCAACCTGCAGAGTAGATGGCTTCAGTGTGGATTTACTGCTGCCTACCACTGCCTCATCCTACGATATAGATGAGATGGATCCAGATTGCTCTGGACAAGAGGCAAGGGACATACACAGAATCACAGACTATTAAGAGTTGGAAGAGACCTCGAAAGATCATTCAGTCCAACCTCCCTGCCGGAGCAGGATCACCCAGACCAGGTCACACAGGAACGTTGCCCAGGCGGGTTTTGAATGTCTCCAGAGAAGGAGACTCCACAACCTCTCTGGGCATTAGAGTATGAGAAATTCTGATTAGATGTACAGCAAAAAATATGACTGTAAGGGTGGTTAAATACTGGAACAGGTTACCCAGAGAGGTGGGGGAATCTCCATCCTTGGAAGTGTTCACAGCTTGATGTCACCCTGAGTGACTGGATCCAATTAGACCTGCTCTGAGCAAGGGATGGAGCCAGATCACTTCTGAAAGTCCCATCCAACTTGAGTTATTCTGATTCTGTGATGTATAAATGATCTGATCTTGGAAAAACTGAAGCTAAGCCCTAAGAAAAGGTAAAGGAGAAAGCAAGCTGTTAAGTAATCCAGAAACAAATCTAGGGTAAAAGCAAGTTCATGGATCTGCTGGGAAAGCATGCTGACATTTTGTGTCTCCAGTTAATTAAGATATAATAAGAGGCAGGTACTGCTGTGCATCAAAACCTTCTGTGCTGTTGACAGCTGTCCCCAGGGATGAATAGAAACAAAAGCCTGTCAGCTTTTTAAATCTTCTCTAATTGAACTGTCTGTCTTGGGTGTCCTTCTCAGTAGCAAGTGAACCCCTTGGGAAGTTTTATCTGTTGTGATTGTGAATGTACATCACTTCCCGTCAATGCAAGATGAGGGAATATTTCCTGTTAAATAACTTGCAAGTTCTTGGCTTCTGTACAGTCACACTGAACTCATCTGTATTAATTTGAGCACTTCTCTTGTCTACTTAAGCCCATCTATTTGACACATAAAGTACAATGAGTAAAACTGCGATGTGCTGTCTAAACTTTTAACTGTGTGTCTAAAACACACAGATGCTTGTCTTGTGATAGTTCCCGTCTTCAGCTGCAGTACATGACGTGTTGTTGAATATAAAGTTCTTTTTAAGAGAACTTGCCAGATCTAGCTCCAAAAATGTAAGCTGAGCAGGACCACTGAGGGTGCTCTATTGTGCTGCTCCCATTTTGTATTCCAAAGCTGGTGAGTGCTCTACTCAGAGAGATCTAAAATGCAGTGTCAAAAGAGGGACTGTTGATGGAGGGAGTGCTTGATTCAGGTCAAGTTTCATGAATTTTTTCTTTAATATAGCCAAGACAACCTTTTAGCATTAGGTGCCACTTTATGCCATAAAGAATTTCACCAAAAAATGAGACTTGTGGATGAATGTGTTCCTCGGTATGAGGCTAAATACCAGAATCTTGTGATGATGCTAGTGCGAGAGTTTTAACAGTTTACCTTTGTGCTGTCTGTCTGACAGATCTTGGAAGAAACGTATAAAATGGAGTTCATGTACAGCGGCGTGGAGAGCCGACAAGTGGTCATTATTCACCACATGAGACTGCAGGCGAAGGCCTTGCAGCTGATAGTGACTGCGCGTACGACCAGAGGGTAAGGATGCCCGGGTACAGGGACCTTCTGAGGGGTAACTGTAAGCTTTGTTTCCTCAAGCTTTCTTTTAAAAAAAGCAGGGAGGATAAATTAGACGCATAAAACATCACGGTATGCCAATAACCATTTGCTAAGCTGTTCCAGCCTGAAGAGCCTTCTTTTGCCCTTGGGGTGGCTGTAGAGTGGCACAATGCTAAAGTAAACTACAAAAATGTTAGGAAGATGTGGTTAGGAGGTTGTGTTCTCTCAGCTACAAACATATGAATAGGTTAAAAATGTAGAGTTGATATTTGGGACCTACTTAAATGAGGAAAATCATGTATCAAAGAATGCACTAATCATATTTGCTTCATTAAGTATGAGTTGCTGAGCTTCTAGCATCAGAAAAGAATTATTTTCTTGACTGATCCACAGCTAATGCTGCTGTAGCTCAGACACAAAACGCTCCTGCATATGCATGGCTGAGGTAACACAAGAGGCTCCGTGTGGTTCGTTTTGGCAGCGGAGGTCAATGAAGCTACACACAGGTCTGGATGGTCGTGGATCCATCCACGTGAATTAGAAATTCATTTGGTGGAGTTAGAGCAAGGTGCGTTACCAGCATTAGTATCCTAATTTGTTTACTTCTGTTTTGAGTTTGTTGCCATCAATTTGCTGTGTTGTCACAGAGGTCCATAGTGTATTTGCCTCTTGACCTCCTGTTTTATAGGTGGAAAGTTAATATTTTCTAGCAGTGGCTTTGGGACTGTAATTAGTGCCTTATGCAAACGATTTTTTGTGGGCGGGAGATTGGACATAGGAAGGAAGATGGCATTTTTTTTTCTCTTGTGAGGAACATCTTTCTGACTTTAACATTGCAAGATCTTTCAGTTTTCAGGAGCTTGAACTGGGTTCCTAAACACCTAAATGTTTATAAACATAAAGCCAGTTTTCTTTATTCAAAACTAAACCGAGGAATGTTATGTTTTTACAGAGTGGAACCCCTTTTTGGGATGTGTGAAAAATTCCTGCAAGAAGTGGATTCCTTTCAGAGGTGAGAAACTCCATCGCTTCTTTGCCTTGTTAGGAAGCCTCCCTACTGTTGTCATCAGGGAATATTCTGTTTATTCTTCAACAATTTGTGTCTCCCTTCCCGTTTCTGCCCTATATCAGGGACTGCTGTGATGAGGTAATGATAAAGCAAGAAGTAAACTCCCTTCAAAATGTGGAATCAATGGAAGAGCTTTCCTGGGAGTATGACAAAAAAGGGAATTTCCCTTTAATTTATCTCAGATTTCTAAATTGTGAATGAGAAAGTGAACGAGCCATCTGCATGCTGAAGGTGGGAGTCACGTCACCCAGGTGCTGACGTTTGATGTGTAAGACCACAGCTTATGGAGCAGGCAAAAATATTTCATTTTTCATTGATTCTTAATGCAGATGTTTCATCTCTGAGCTCCCGCATATGCAAGGCAGTTTTGTAGATAAGCTGCTGGATTTAATGCCCAGACTGGTGACATCCAAGCCTTCGGAAGTGGTCAAGATTCTTCAGACAACACTCCGACAAAGTACCTTCCTCCACCTTCCTCTTCCAGAGCAGGTTGGTGTGACACAGAGAATTAAACTGCAATATCCCTGCGGGCTGTCTCAGCATCTGACTAGCTCCTAAAATACTATGAAGCTTTTAGGATTCAGGTTTTTGGTCAGTCCCAAGTGTTATTTCTTCAAAGGCTTTCTTCTTCTTCCCTAGCATCCTCAGGACTACTGCTAAAAATGCAGAAGACTTAGTGATTCCTGGCAGTATTTAAAAAAAAATCCAAAGTTCATGTGCAATTTGTCCATTAAGAGCAGTAATTACTGTCTCTCTTTCTTTTCTCCTCCTCCCCCTGCCTTATTTTTACCAACGGCTTTGCCCCTAATAGCTCCATAGAGCTACTGCGAATATCATTGAGCCTACGGGTGAATCTGACAATCCCCTGAGGTTCACATCGGGGTTGGTGGTGGCGCTGGATGTTGACGCGACTCTGGAGCACGTGCAGGATCCCCAAGGAACCGTTAAAGTTCAGGTAAGCAGTCACTTGACATAAATGCAAACACGATTGCATCTTAGGGAGTTTGTTTAAGGATGCCGATACTTCTAAATTGCAAATAATTGTACACTTTATTAGTAACAGTGTTGGATTTCTGTGTTTAAGACACACATTACACTCAGCACACTGTATACAAGCCAGTTTCTGACTCACATACAGCTGCTGAGAGTTTGCTCTGAGTACGCTGATGCCATTCTGCGCTCCACATGTGCTGCCCTCTGCTTTTGCACGCTCTGGGCATGTTACGGCCATGAGCACAAATAAATGCTGGTGAACTTCCAGCTTGTGTAGTGGGAGAAGGAGGAGCAGAAGCTGTTCTGAGCGGTACAGAAATACGCGGGCCCTTGGCTCTCTGTATTTCACAGAATCACAGAATATCAGGAGTTGGAAGGGACCTGGAAAGCTCCTCCAGTCCAACCCCCCTGCCAGAGCAGGATCACCCAGACCAGGTCACACAGGAAGGCGTCCAGGCGGGTTTTGAATGTCTCCAGAGAAGGAGACTCCACAACCTCTCTGGACAGCCTGGGTCAGTGCTCTGTCATTTACAACTTAACTTTCTTCCTGCTGCTGAATCACTAATTTCCAATGCAGCTGAGGAGGTAGATGTGGTACAATGCCAAGTAAAATATGCAAATTCACTGCATAACAAAGAAATGAAAGCCTCTGTTTACAAGGCAGAGAAAGAAGCTGATGTTGATGTATTTGTTTTCCACCTGTGCTGTGGGTCTGAATGGCCGGTGTGTGGCTGTTTAATCTCAGGCAGCTGAACTTGGGGCTCTGAGCTAAAGCAGAGCTTCCTGCCTTCTGAACTCAGAGAAAACACCTAAATAATGCACGTTGTGCAAATCCCCAGTCCAGTTGTCATTCAGTTGTTTCCTTTCTTCACCCTATAGGTGCTGTATCCAGATGGACAAGCACAACTGATCCATCCCAAACCAGCTGACTTCCGAAATCCCGCTCCTGGAAGGCACAGGCTGATAACTCAGGTTTACCTCTCGCACACAGCCTGGACAGGTAGTGTTCATGATACAAATTCAGGTGGTTGCGTCACTGCACTTTTCCAAGGCAGGAGTGTGTCTTGCTTGATCCCAGTCTCCAGCACATAAGATACACCCCCTAAGTCTTGGGGCTTTTGAGGATCCTGGAGTCTGCAGCTGCTGTTGTGGCCACCCTTAGCGTTGCTCAGATTTTTAGAAGCTCTCACAGGCTTTGAGCAGCCGCGTCCCCCTGGCTGACAGGGCGACATAGTTGACAAGGGGCTGCTGTCATGGGACAGAAGGTGTTTGCTATGCGCTGGGGGCTGCCTCTGCAGTCTTCTGGCACGGGGAGCCTTTCCATGGGAGCGCGTGTTCAAGGTGAGGTCACCCGTTTCTGTGCAGAGCCGGATTAGTTGGAGGAGCTGGGTCTGCATCCTTGTTTAAAGGCAAGGAGCCACGGCAAACTGACTCATTGCAGTTCACAGCTTTAGATCTGACAGGTGTTTGAGCAGGGCAGCGAACCTTTGGAACTGTGCGTATTCAGCAGAGCAATTTCACTGCTGATTAAACTTTCACCCTTTAAATGCCCTAAAAAACCCACCTTTTAGCTCTGATGAAATATGTGACTGCAACATTCAGGTTCGGTCTCAGTGGCACTCACTCTTGCCCGTGAAAGCGCTTCAGTGACCGGCTTGTGGACTTCAAACAACAAAAGCAGAGAGTATTTGTTCACAGCTGCCTTTATCGTGCTTGCTTTTAATCCCTTCACGTTTATTCAAATGTGAGTTTTGTTTTTCTGAGCAGTTATTAATAGGATCTGGTGATATTTTATTCTTTTTTAACCAACCATTGTTTAGTGCAATGTTCTTTTAAGTGCTCCTTTTTAAGTAGCCCTTCCATTGGTGCACTTGTTCATCCTGCTACCTCTGTTTTGTCTGGGTAAAGAAAAAATGGTATTGTTTCTACATCTGGAAGTATCTGGATTTAAAGGTTCATCCTGTACCAGAGGGAGCTGAATCAAGTCCTTATTTCTGCTTCTGCTGCATGCACTGGAAGGGCATTTTAAGTATGGCCTGAAGGGATTCTGTTCTGGTGTCTCCCCTAGCCTCTATTTCAAATATTAACTTTGACACTGGCACTTGGGCATATAAAATGTGCCCTCCGAGCTGGGAGGGGTTCAGTGAACGTGGTCAGAATTCAAAATGGAGAAACTGCCTTAATTCAAGCCAGTGAAACTTATTGAAGGCCAATAAAAAGCTGTGCTTAGGAAGGAGAATGCTCAGACACAGAGCGTGGATTAACTGACAGGTTTGCAGCAGAAGCAATAGAGGTGGCTGCAAGCTATAAATTAAAGAAGAGTCGAAGTGTGGCAGAAAGGTGAGTCTCAGGGAGGAATTTGCTGGACAAAGCTTTCTTATGTCCAGTCTGGCATGAATGATGTCTCAGCTGGAGTTCTGCTGCATTTCTGGTTGTGGCATCTTAAAACAGTGTGGGTTTCAGTAGGTTTTGTTTAAGTTTCAATAATGTGGTGGTGGTTTTGGTTAACCTGGGGTACAGGTAAATCACACACTCAAGCCCAGTGCCTGCTCACTCCCTGCACGGTGGGTTGAGGAAGAGAATCAGAGGGATAAAAGTGAGAAGACTCCTGGGTATTGCACTGTTCAGCGACAGCTACAACATCCCTGTGTTACTAACACTTCTTGTAGCCACAGATCTGAAACTTGTCACCATGTCAGCCGCTGTGAAAGAAAATGAACTTTATCCCAGCCAAAACCAGTACAAGTTCATATGAAAACCTAAAGGAATCATGTTTTTCAGTCTACAAAGGAAAATTGTGATGGGGATATAGTCCAGCGTGCTGCTCAGAGTCACACTGTGTAGACTGAAAGCCTGTGTTCATTCTGACCACTGGGAGAAGAACAAAGTGAAATTATCTTCTGGGTAGTATTGGGAATATCTGTCTAGCTGCTGGCGAAAGAGCAGAAAAGGCTGCCTTGTAGTGTCAAAACCAGCAACAGCAGAGGATCTTTCAGTAATCTCCTGTGCTGGGAGTCTTATCAGATATCATCTGGATTTACTAGGTCCTGCCATAAATATATAGATAGCAAGAGCTGCTAGTTCTGTGGTCTTTTATGATTTTATTACTATTTGATTGGAGTCTATTTTAACAGTTACTTTTGAAAGTTGCTATTTTTAAGTTAGTCATTTGTGTCCTGGTCTGGGTGATCCTGCTCTGGCAGGGGGGTTGGACTGGATGAGCTTTCCAGGTCCCTTCCAACTCCTAACATTCTGTGATTCTTTTTTTGAGCTATGACAAAGAGTTGGAGGGACTTAAAATGGTACTGAATTCTGCTGTGCTGAATGTAATGACAAAGCTGTATTTTATTCTGGGCAGCCCAGAATGGCTCTGTGCTTTCCCCAGCATACATGAAATCAGATTTTGTTCAGTATCAGTTGTTCGCTGCATGGTGACAGTCCCATTTGGGTTGTTCTGTTTTGTCTCTGCAGAGCCGTGTCAGATTGAGGTGCGGTTGCTGCTGGCCTACAATTCTAACAGGAGCAAAGCAGCTGCTAAAATTCCTAAATCTACCTGGAGCGAGAGCTTGGAGGCTCTCCCGCAGTCCGAAAACGGCATAGAGGGGACCATACCCTTCAGCAAAGCTGTCAAAGTTTATATAATGCCCAAACCGGCCAGGCGGTGAAGTCTGTCACTGAGAAATGTATTTATGGGGTTGTTGGGTTACAGGAAAACAATGTGCTGTGTTCCAAGAGAGTGAACCAAGACAAAACAGTTTTGTATTTGCATTTAAAAAAGGTCAACTGTAGCAATAAAGCTGCAGAGGAACCATTGGTCTCCTCTGTGAAGAAGCAGATGGACCAATGCAGGGACATGGGTCTAGGTAAGAGCAGTTTCAAGAAAATGCAGATGTTTCTGTATTGAACCGACAAAATCAAGACCGGTCACAATCAGCATTCCAGTATCAAACGTTTCTCTTCAAGGCCTCTAGGTTTTCTGCTATGTATTTACTCAGGTATTTACTGTGTAAATGCTTAGGCACATAAATCAATGTTATTTTTACAGTACTCTGAAACGAAGCTGAGGAGTTTGGGATTTTTTTTTTAAATGTCTAAACTTGTGCATTGGTACCTAAATTCTTGGTAAAACAAAACAAAACGAAAACAAACAAAACAAACCCACAAAACAAAAAAAGTGCTGTTGTTCTTGTGTAGGAGCTGCATCTCAGAGTGGAATTGCCAGTTGCCGTACCTAAATCCTGTGTGGTTTCACGTCCTGTACAGCTGCACTGAAGGTGGTACCATTTTGGGAAGGGCACAGGTTGCTCGTTTTGTGGTGTGACGGGAGCAGGAACCTGTTGGTGCGAACAGCAGAACTTCACTTAGCAGGACACAGAGTTTAACTGAGTTATAGCAACACAACAACGTTACTTTTTCTTAGTTTACATCAAATGGAGTCAAACATATTCACCCCTACACTGTAATCCTGTCTCTTGCACATTTGTATGCCTATAGGAATGATGCAATTAAATGCTGTGGGTTGAAGAACTATTAACCCCCTCCCACTGAGTTTTACAGGATCTGTTTGTGGTGGTGATCTTGGCCTGAACCAACCTTACCAAGATAAGAAAATTGACTTGGTTTTTCAATTCAGCAGCAGTTTTGGCAATCAAAGTGGCCAAGGAGCACATAATGTATGAAATGTTATAGTGCATCTGCCAAATGTTACCTGTGTTCATATATCAGTATGCAAAGAGGGAAGAAATACTCCCCAGTTGTACAGAGATCAGTGTAAATAACAGCCCCTTGTCTGCTTTCCTACAGTAAAATTGGAAAACTCACGCTGGTTTGTTTCGTCTTTATTATCTGAGTGAACATGCGTGCCGGTATGATCATAGGCTCAGAAGAGATCACTGCAAGGTGGTTTTTGTGATTCTGTTTTAATTTTTAGCACTGATGTGTGCTGGTCCGAAGACTCATAACCATAAAGCATTTCAGCTGGCTCAGGTATTCTTGAATTAAATCTCCTTTCTTAGTCCTACTGTTCCTACAAGCAGTTTTTCTGTATTTCACTTGTAACAGCCGAGTTGTTACCATCTGACTTCTCTGTGGTGTCCTCAGTTCAGTTCCCAGCAGACAGGGGTTGATGTACATACCTTGTGGAGCTGTATCCATGCAGACCCTTGGTGAGTTCACCCAGCTCATTACAGACTTTTTTCCCCTCTCAGCTTACACTTCATCAGTATTTCTGCAGTTGTCATCCCAACAAAGACGTCTCATTTAAATCGTGTCCATATGCTCCAGGCTATGACTGCTGCACCAAACAGCTACGGCAGTCTGGACTTCTTTTATTTATATTCATATATATATATTTTATATATTTTTTATTACTTTTTAATTTTTTCTTTTTAATTTTTTTCATTTTCAGTGTGAAAGTCTTGGCATCTTTCTCTTTCTGAGCACTGGAACAAGTTTCCACTATTTTGCTCCCCTCGTGCTGTGCTTGAGCTCCTTTCATACAACACGAGGCAAAGATCGCTTGCCTTCTGTATCGCCACCAAGTGAGAATCAAACACCAAAGGCCTAAAGAAACGTTCTTCATCTGTAATTTCAGATGCCTAAAACCACTTGACAATGTAAGACTGCTCTGAACATTTCCAGTCTCTGAACAAGAGTATTCCTTAGTTGGCTTCTCTTCTTGGTATTGTCCTCTAGTTTTTTCTCTGATTTGAATCATGGAAGAAATCCTAGGTTCTCCTTTTTTAATTCGGTTTCATCAATTCAAGCAGATGACTGTTTCATCATCATTTTAGCTGAACTGAAAAAAAGCAGCGATCTGTAACTCTGATGATCTTAAAATTTAATGTCAAAAGCTGTTTCCTTAATACTGTGCTCTTCCAAGATTCAAATTTACCTTTGATTTCCCTGCTATGCAGGCAAGCAGGGAATTGGGAAATGGTTTGGGTTGGAAGGGACCTTAAAGCTCATCCAGTCCAACTCCTTTTCTGGTTGTGGGTTTTTTTTAAACTTCTTACCTTGATCTCTTTATTTTAGCTTTTTAAAATGCATTTGCACACCATGAACCAACATGGGAAATCTGACAAGAAATTTGTATAAAAGGTAAATATTCTAAGGTGTTGTAGTTGCCTACATGGAGATGCTGACTTTTTCTTCCCACTCCCCCATGTTTGAGGCATTCAGGCTTTTCTCAGAAATACCGGATTTCATGCTCTCTGTGGAGCTCCAGGACTTCGTGTCATTTCAGAAGCATCTCTACCCATTCATCGCTTGTCCTTTCATTTTAGATAAGTGTTGGATTTCTGCACGGCAATAGCCTAGGAGAGGATTGATCTCAGAATGAAAAGAAAACCAAAGGACTGTACCAAAGATAATTTGCATCTTCTGTCTCTGTTGAAGAGGGACCAGAGGACTTCAGATCACAACCACCTGAGCACGGGGAGATGCTGTGCTTGAGGAGGTTTGCAAGTGTAGCAGCGTGGTGCCAGTAGAGCTGCAGCCGGGGGGGCGATTGGGCAATCTAGAAGCAAGGGCAAATAATTTGTTAGAAACTAACAATCTTCAAACACCCCTCACCTCCATATTGTACCTCCTTGTTAGACATAAAGGAAGAGGCTGAAGCAGCTGAAGGAGGAAAAGGCTGAACTCACAGGAAAGGTGTGAAGCTGAGTGGTGTGAAAATGTGTTGTTGTGTTAGATTTAATTATACACAGCAGGTGGGGGGGGGGAGCCAAGCTCTGATGGCTTTTAATGGGAAATCCATAATCATTTACTGAACTGAAATTTATTAGGCCAATTCTTGGAACTTTGCAAGTAAATAATGCAATTATCAAGTCAAGAATACTTAATGCATAAATATAATTGGAACAGCTGAAAATCGTGTGATATTAACTCAAAGCTCGTGTGGCTTTCACATAGCTTCTTATTTTTAAAAGTACAGAAAAACTAAGGGTGGGTACACTCACTGCAAAAGTACAGAGAAGGGTTTTTTTTTTGGAAGATTAAAGAGCAGGGCAGGGACATAAATCAGGGCTGCAGGACATTGTCTTGGTTCCAGCTCACAGAGATGGGTTTCCTCTGGATTCCTCTCTTGCTTGTCCGAGTTGTCAACTCTTTTGACCAAGTCAGAGATACAATCGCTATTTTCATCTTACTTCACTCACATCTTCCAGTTCATTCACTGTATCGGGCACTAGGATGTGGGACCACGCTGTCTTTTTACTTTACAATTCACTCGTGCAACATTAGTGGAACTTCAAAACAAAGTTTGAAGGCTCACAGATGCAGGCATTGCACAAACGCTGTGTGACGTCCCTTAAAACCACCGGTCATGTTGCGCTCAGTGCATCTGTGAGGCTTTTACAGCGCGTTTCTGCTGGCTGCCAGCTCGCCCGTGCTGCTTCACAAAGATAAGGGCTGGGGACCGACCCGCTGGGCAGCGGCGGAGCAGCTGGGGTGGGATCTTCCTGGCATGCGGCCCGGCCGCGGCTCCGCTTTCATGAGAGCGTCAGGGTGGGAGCTGGCCGCATCCTTGGAGATCGTTTTCCTGGTGGGAGGCAGAGGAGCGGTGTATGTGAGAAATCCTGCCCTCTCAAAGTGCATTCCCATCATTTGGGCAGCGAGCCTGTAATTTTACCAAATTATTTATGGCTCTAGTTGAAAGCAGTGATTTAATAAAGATCCCATTCTGAGCTCGGGTTGAATTTTTTGATGAATCAGTCCCAGCTGTTTCCACCATGTAGCAAAGCAATCTCAGGCACCAAGAAGGAAATTGGGCTTTCAGGGAGCGGAGCAGCCCAAGTGGAGCAGCCGCTTTTGTGGGAACCGACAAAGCTGACTCAGGAAGTGGTGATGAGAGCAGAAATAGAAGATCCGGATGGAAAAGACTTGCAGCAGATTATCTCCTTGTCGACACACCCAAATGTACCGATGGTAGCAAAACTTTGCAGTTTGCCTTTAAAAAGGGAAATTGGTTTCTCTGCACGCTGCAGCTCCCCGGTTTTGAAGTGGAATCTTCGGTATCCCACCGGTTGCCAAAGGGAAGGAACAATTAAGAGGCTGCAGCACAAAGCGGGGTAGGGCGCACCTCTGAAAGTCACCTGGCAATGCAAATGGGCTGTGCTCCTCTCCTGCCTTTGGGGAGGACAAAACACCAGGGTGAGGAGCCTGCAGTATTTTTCTTAAATGCAGGACCTGGCCTGAGCAGTTCTCTTAAATGCGGCTTTATTATTAACATGCTGCAAAGGAAAAGGAAAAAAAAAAAACAAACCACCAAACCTGGAGGCGAAAGATTCAGTGCTTGCTTGCTCAACTTCTCTGAACAGTGTAACGTGCATGCTGGAGGACTTAAAAAACTCAAATTGTCCTCTCAGTAAAAGCCTTACAAAGCCTCTTCCTATTTAAGGCTGCCTTAAGGGCCAAAAGCTCATGAAATAATGCAAATACACAACCACGATCGAAAGCATCAAACCACCTCTGCTGTAAGATATCAACGCTTTAATGCAAAAAGTCTCCACGCTCTGCAGATTGGTAGGAACCAGTTTTGCTGGCATTGCCTTGGGATGACCACAGTCTTCTGGGTCAGTGCTTCACCTCCTGCTCCACACCACACAAGTCACTCAGAACAATGTCACAGCGGCTCTGGCGACTGTTGTATCAGCTGCTGGGTCAGGGCACACAGCTGCAGCTGGAAAGGCAGTTCTGGCTGGTTGAGATAAGATGTTGCAAATAAAGAGGCAATAAATTTCCCCCTAATAGAAAACATTGGTGTAATTAGGAGATGGCAAGATACAAATTTCAAGTGTTGACTTTCCCTTTCCTTTTACACCACGTACTGCACTTTATCAGACAAAAGGTTTTAAACAATTACTAGAGCAAATAAACAGGAAAACAACAGTATTTTGTGAAGGCCTTTCCTTAGGTCTTGGGGAAGTCATTGCATTCTCATAGCAATCCAAGCCTCTCTGCTACTACATGGGTAGCTCTGAGTGCCTCAAGGCTTTTAGTAGTGACATCTTTGTACTTTACTGTGGATTTAATATATGCATATCAAGAATCAGTGGTGGGAAAAAAAAATCTACAGTAGGTAACTTGTAACTGGTAATCCCAATAAAAGCCCAGCAAGAACAGCAGCTACGAGAACTTCTTAAATTGTCACTGTAATAATACATTTGTTGGCACAATGTTTAAATCAGATAATGACAACCAGTGGGAATTCTCACATCCATCCCTAGCCTGCTAGCAGCAATTTAGACTGACTTCCTAAAGATCAACATTTTATGTTGCAAACTCTAGTTTCGTGACATATCTGATTATTTTAAGCAGGCAGAGACTTTTGAATAGATACATATTGCACAACTCAGTCCTCACAATTCACAATTAATAGGAAAATTCTTTAAGGCTCAGGTTTTATGTTTATTTCCTGGAGACTTCCCCCCCCCCAGGTTCAACATAAGATTTAAAAATGTCTTTGAATCACCACAAACAGATCTGCACAGCAAATTTCCTGACTGAAGTCACCAGCAGGAGGCAAAGTTTATGTTCTGTGCTCACTTCTTAGTTTTAGTTTTAACTTACTTATACAGTAGTGGTGAAGCGCTGCTTTACCCCAGCTTCATAATTACCATGTGACTGTACTCATCATCTGCTATCTTATGGCTGCATTCCAATAGCCAATAATGCAATTTTGGGCCATTTCCTAATAAAAGTATGCAAAATTTGCTATCTTAATCTAGCTACCAGGTGAAAAGTTAAGTAACCAGAACATGGACGGTCTTCAGAGGAAGATCAGGTCAACCTCAAGAATGTATGGAAATGGTTCTGTAAACAATTTAACTAATAGCCAACTTTTGTGAGCACTCCATTTGTTTAAATTAAAAACAAACTCTCCTTGTATTTTACATTTTCAGCACACAAATGCCATGGCACAGAAGCCCACACTCTCTTGAGTGCAGTTTGATTCAGCGAGCGGCGTGTCGGTGATTTGGCTGCAACATCTCAGCAGGTCGAATGGAAAACACCCCCCACTTTGACACCCTGAGCAGCCAGGGCGTTGTACTCCGCCACAGCCTTCTCTGTTTGCAAGACCAAGACATCGATGCCGTTTTTCTTCAGATAGTCCACAGTGGATGGTGGAACCTCAGAAAAGGAAATGGGAAAAGCAAGTATTAGATTCATTTCCCTCCACACTGTAAGGCTTGAAGTAAAAGCAGGTACTGACAGCATTTGTTAGTAGATGAACTTGCATCACTGATAGCAGCCAAACTGATGACATGCTCGTATATTTCTAAGACTATTTTTTTCCTCTTCAATAAAGCTACTTTTATACACACCTCCCATCTCTCCTGTAACACGGTTTAAAATGCAGCCCTTTCTTACAAAAGGAAATAGAATGAGAGCTAAAGATAATGAATCTAAATGAGGTGTTACTCACCTCACTAAAAAGCTCAAGAATTGCTTCTCAGGAAGTGAAGCTCAGCACTTCTGAGCTTTCTGTAGGCACTTTGTCTGCTGAAATGACATCCTGCCAACATTAGTAACAAAAATGTCTAATTATCAAAGTATTTAGAGCAAGCTATAGAGCTAGTTCATAACCTATTCTAAGAGGAGAGACTAATGACACCATAAAAAAATTCTCTTTGTTTAAATTTAATTGCAGAACGTAAACCTGTTTACAGCTTGACATTGACACTAATACAGAGGCATTCAAGTGATGTTTCATTCAGGAAGAGAGGGACTCCTGGCAGGAGCTCAGCCATGCTAATGCAGCACCCTGAATTTTTTTTTCCCTTTTTACTATAGATCAATCAGAGGGAGAGGGAAAACAAAACAGTCCTAGCTTACATTTATCACAGAACAGACCCTACCTGCAAAGCCTCACTCATGCCACGACCAATCACCACAGTTTTAACACCCTTCTTGACAACTTCTTCAAGGTCAGCTGGTTGCACTCCTGGAGAATGCTAATGTCAGGGGAGGAAAATAACAGTCTGGGTACTGACAGCATCAACCAGGAAAGCTTCATCTATGTTTTGAACTGTCCACAGAGTAGCAGGGTAAATGAGCAGTACCCAAATGTAACACAACCCTCTTTTCTGCATGCACACAGTAGATAACACTCAATTAAAAAAGGTGTTTTATATGCAGATGATAGTTAATCAATTGATGGCAATATTATCACTCTTTATTATAAACAGTTAAATACAAAAAGATGCGTTACGCATTTCTAAACATTTATGTGTAACAACTAGCATTCTATAAATATTAAAAGTTAAAGTCAAATCAATAAATCACAACATATTGCTGTTTGTTTTCAAAACCTTTTTGTAATACAGGCTGTAGCAAGTCAAAGTTTACTCACTTTAATTACAAAGAGCTCCTCAAATAATTAAAATGATTGAATTCTTTTCTTGTTTACTTTGCAAATCTCATTTACTAAAGAGGACTGAAACATATTGGTTAGCTTCATTTCACTTAATAGTTTCAATTTCTGCACTATTCTTAGTTCTGAGAAAGGAATATTTGAAACCAAACTCCTCAAAGAAAAAAAAAAAGATTTAACAGCGTGGTGATTGAGTTTGTGAAGAAGTGCACTCATTTACTGTGAGCAAGCTTTAAACACATGAACCCACACATACACCTGTAATGTTCATAGAGCCACAGAATGTATTGGGTTGGAAGGAACCTTTAAAGATCATCCATCCCACCCCCCTGCAGTTAATGTAATATAGTTGTATTAATAGATCATTTAGGTCATTAAGCTGTATTTTTTGTTTTAATTTCAGTAATTTATAGGTTTAGAATTATAAATTAGTTCTATATTATTTTGGTATTAACTTAGGTAATTTATAACGTTATCATTATATAACATGCTAATATAAACAATTATGATGTCACACCATTTCTCCTCAATTCTAGTTCAATTTAGTTCTATATAGCCAAGAGTAAGCTACTGTACAACCTGTGGCTAGAATTTGGCTCCTCTTTGGTGTGCATTTTTTGAAGCCACAAATACCATTTACCTCCCCTCCTTTTTTTTGGTAGGATTCCTAAGTTAGTTTAGAGGACTGAGATGAGTCTCTCACTTGAAGTAATGCCACGGTGGACTTCTGGAGAATGTCATTTTTATGGTTTATCCCCTACACTTCCAGAAAATACGTCATTCTTTCAATGAATTAAAGTCAAAGCACCAATTGCCTTCTGTTGTGCCATCAGTTAGTGAGCTTTACTCTTTGATGGCCTTGGGTCCTCTGCTATAGCTTTTGTCCTGCCCAGGTCTTCAGCAGCTGATGCTGCAGCCTCACACAAGGTGTTGGCATTCTCTGTCAGCCCTTTCAATGCTTCTGTTTGCTGAACAGGGCAAGTGAGACTTTTCAAGCTGAAAAAAACACGAGCCCCTGAAGTTGCAGGTGAGGGAAACCCTCCATGGTAGAGTGCCACTTCCAATGAGTGGATTAAACTTAGCTCAGCAGAAAGTCTTTAGCCTGGCTGGTACCTAGAATTTCAGCAACAGAGACGGTTTACCCTTGTGGTTCTCCAAGTTATGTTCCCCTTAGTCCATTTAATAAGCCCACACGAGAATGCAGATATTACTTCAATAAGCAGAGCTTTCTCAGACCAAACAATCACAAGTGTGTGTTAATGACAGAACAGGCAATCATAGAATGGTTTAGGTTGGAAGGGACCTTAAAGATCATCTAGTCCAACCTCCCTGCCATGGGGGTGGGGGCTTTTCCTTTGGGAGTTTAAGTAGACTCAAGACTTAGGCAAAAAGAACTGGTATGGTTTACTGCAATTACAATAATTGGACTGGCAGGGAAGGTTTGCTGTCATATGAGAAGTACTCCTGAGACATTAAAGCCGTGGAACAAAAGGATTTTCTTTGGTTACGCAGGACACACTGATTGTGGGAGCTTCCACATGTTTAGTAGGAAAATAATGTCATTAAAGGAAATATGTAACACAACGGAATAACTGTATCATCGCTGTGAAAGAGAAAGGTCAGCAGAATTTTGTGCCTGTTTTGTTCTCTGGTCTTCCTTTCAGGATCCCTACCTGTTCACTCCCATTAGCAGATGGCACTGAAATGCAGGCAGCTGGGGGGCTGCCTTTCATCCCAAGGGTTAAGGCTGTAAGAACTATCGGTGCTCAGTTACAGAACCTTGCAGAGCCAGTTATACAATTTTCCAGATGAAAGAATTAACTACTAGGCAGCAGGCTGAGAGCAGAGAAGGAAAAGCAGCAATTTACTTCCAATGAGAATATGGGACAGGACCAGCACTGCTTGTTTCCCAAACTTCAGCTCCACCTACCTCCAGGAAAAACACACACAAAGAAAGTAGGTACACTGTAGTCCACCATAACAAAATGTGCAGAAAATGCAGCTGGTGAATCCTGCAACTTCCAGTGCTGATCAGATGAACATTTTATAGATCTTCTAGAGTTGGAGATGCAGTCTAGAAAAGCTTTTATTTAGTCTCACATTTGTTGCTTGCTGTTCATTTTTAATCTGAATCACCTAACCTCTCATAGCTCCAAGAAGCATAGAACTGACAAAGCAGAAGCTTTACAGGTGACCTGTATAAATCAAAACCTAAATAAGTATTTAAGTTCCTGATGATATAAAAAGGATGCAAGAAAACCTACCTCTCCAAATAACCCAACTATTTCTTTTTTTTCCTCCAATGTTAACTTAACATAGACTCATTTTTTTCCTTGTTACAGTTGGAGGACTCCTCTAAAGACTTCTGTGGACTTAAAGCTTTTACCTGTCACCTGAAGACATCCCTTGTTTGAAACTTTAAAAAGAAAGCGTGACCTCCTAAATGCTAGTAGGTGCTTATAATTTGAAGCCAAAGTTTTCAAGTGGTCAGAATGAATATCAAAATGGGATTGAGCTGGGAACTAGTCGTGAACTTTTCAGCTACCATATCTGTTCTGCTCCTCCAGTCACACATGCGTATAAACCAGGAATATAATGTAGTCAAACAAACAGTGACTCTTGCCACACAGCCCACTCCTCTAAACAGCCAGTGAAAGCTTCATTTTTTCTAATCAGACCATAAATGAAATACACTTTAGAAGGTTATATACACAGCCATCTTTGTCTCTGCAAGGTACAGCTGTCTTTGCACGACAGCACTACTTTTCTCTTGGTGTTATATGCCCAGTGTAAATGGAACTCTAACAGCTTAAAATAAGTTCTGTTCCCCCAGAGGTTATAGATGAAGTTTCAAAACCAAAGGTTCTGCCCTTCAGTTTGGTCAAAATCAATTCAACAGAGCTGTATCCTCTGTGTGGATACAGCTGCAGCTGCTGGGTCTAAGAGCTCATCAGTGTGTAGTTCTGCTGTGCTATAACCTTTGCTCAGAAAGCACAGAAATCTTTTTCTAGCCAATACAGCTATCCTAGTGCAGGCCCTAATAAGGGGAGAATTATCAACATCGAGTTCCTAATGCAACAGACGTTATGCTGCTTCTAAATCTGGGATGTCAATACTGTTCTGTGTACTTTTGTACAATTCTGATAGCATTTACAGATAAGGCTTAAAAACTGTGAGGGTAAGTACTTACTATATGGCTATCAAGAGAAGTCACTGTGTGGTTAGCCAGACTGAAGATACTAGTGCATATGATACCGTATCTGCATGTGTTTCCTCTGAAGTACAAAGGACTGCAAGGAAAAGGCTAAAATCTAAACCACATGCACTGTTCTCTACCCAGCACATCAGGTCAGTTACTGTCGATTTCTTTTAACTTCCCATACATTTTTCCTGTCTCACTGAAGACAATTTTTGTTTACACCATCTGAGAAAAGGTTGTTACCAGCATCCTATGACAACAGCACCTTTAACCAAATGCAGAGTGATGTTTGAGAGCTCCAAGGTGTGTGACAGTGGCCTGGTCAGGGTGGCTGCAAGGACCGGTGGCAACAGCTGTGACACCGCCAGCTGTAGGACCTTGTGTGTCTGCAGCCCTCTCACCTCTCCACACACTCACTTCTGAAACACTCACTCAGTTCTTCCCAGGAAAATCTAATGGTTAGAAGAAAGCAGACAGCAACCTGCTGGATTTCTGGCTAGAGATTTAACAGCTGTTCTCCAGACTGTTCTCCGAGTCCCACTTAAAATACAGACTGGATAATAAACAGCAAACTTACATTAGTCCCCGTTTCTCGCCAGTCCCAGGTTCGGCTTCCTCCCGGCCATACTTTGCAGTCTTTATATGTTGTAGAGCAGCCTTTCACCTTCATCTGACCCCAAGAAAGGGAAGCAATTTCAGGGGAAGCCATGGCAAAGATGAACCAAAGTCTGGAAAAAGGATATTTAATATATAACATCGGGCTAACAGATGTGGCATGTGAATAAAAAAAAGAAAATTCTGTCCTTGCCCCAAGGAGCTGGGAAGGAAATGCAATTACAGACTTTATCCACGTGATTTTGTGACAACAGAATTGAACTGAGGATCAGCAGAGTTGTTGAATTACCAGTCCTTCTGGGGATTTTGTGCAGGATTTTGGGCAAATCATTTGACATGCTAAATCTGTACAAGTATTGGGTGCTCAACTTTTAAAACGGGGATCAGGTCCCAGAATATCCTCTCACATCTGGGTTTTAATCTTCTCCCTAAATTGTAGAATGAAGATGATAATTTCTTAAAATATCTGAGAGATGCTGTTTCTTTGGCCTCTTTATTAATTTAAAGTAGTAAATGTGGTTTAAAACTCCCAAACAAACCAACCCAATAGAAAAGCCATCAGCAAAACAACGGCATTGCCATATTGCTGAAGCAATCAAGACCTTCAGAGACCTTAATGAGTCAAGACTTCTTTCTTTGCTCACTCCTTACAGAGGCCAAGTCTTCCTCTATAATGTCTGAGGACAGTTAAATACCCAAATACTCTATTTTCTAAAGTTTGACCTCAATTGTTTCAACTTAAACCCATTATTTCAAAACCTTTCTACTGTGGATAAGGAGAACAGCTTAATCTTTGTCTTTTCCACCATCTTTTCTTTTCCTGAGTTTTTTCCCTTCTTTTAGATTAAATAAACTTCACCTTCCTTCAGTCGCGTTTTCTAAATCTCTGCTTATTTTCCCCTTTTTCCCCTGGCAACCAACAATTGATCTTTATCTTTCTTTGACTTCTGTTGCCTAAAACTAGATGGAGAGCTCCAGCCAAGGCCTCATCAGTGCTGCTACAGAGCAACCAAGTTTTGGTATGATCCACAGTGATTTGGGGATCTGCTGTCATGATCATGGCTGGGCATTGGTAAAGTATCAGCTCACCACCCTGTGAATGCTCACGCTCTCTTCACAGCCCTTCATGTTACCACAGCTGAATCGCCCGTGTGATTGAGCAGCAGACAGCAAGAGAGGAATCACACAGCGATACCCTGGAAATGCGCTAGACCAGCATGGTAGTCAACTGATGCTTCTCAAGGGTAGTGTCACCAAAAGGCTTTCCAGTTGAGAAGGAGGATGGTTGAAGCCTTCATTATGAAGAAAACTGGCTGCTTCTGCACCAAAAACCTCTGCTTTTCTACTGATCCAGAAAACCTCAATGGCAGATCCTTCCAGATAGGCGGTTTCTCATCTTTTACTGTTTCACTGTTCAAATTCACCAGGAAAAATATATCAATCATAGGAACCCTGGTGGCACCGATTAAAGAGCGAGCCCTGACACAAGAGAAATCTTTGCATTACCAGGCTTCCTGTCCTCCCAGAAGCCTCCCTGTCTGTCTTGCACGTGCTACAGCAGCCCACGGTACAGCCAGACAGGACATGCTCTACTCCCATCAGCAGGAGCAGACCTCAGAGTCCTGCTTCAAATGTCACATGAAGTAAAAACTGCATTAATTTGGATCTGGCACAGATCTGAGGCTGCCAAAGCTGCTGCTTCCACAGAATAGCGGGGCAATTCTTATCTGTCTTGCTCCTTTGTAAAGTTAGAAGCACACGTGTGATGTCAAACAGGAAGCCAGGCAAGCAGCTATGGGGCAGCGAAACCTGCCTGGATTAATATATTCTAGATTATCTCATTACACATCCATAACACAATGGATTCAAACAAAGGTTTATAAGACTGTAGTCCCCAAAATGTGCTGAAAGGAGGTTACAGCAGAAGAAATAACCAGCAGTAGTCCCAACAGAATGAAATCACTTGTCAACCAAAGAGTAAAGGCTAAATAAACCACCCAGAACCTGGCTCTGAAGAATGAAAATAATTTTTGCCTGTGCTAGTTTTGAGAGGAAATGGCAGAATTAGACCTGGAGGTTAGACAGAGGTGAAAGAACAGTAAAATCATTAGGAATATCAGATTTCCCAATCCAAATAGTAGTACAAGGCTGGGACTGTGCTATCAAACAGGCACAAACTGCAAATGGAAGAGCAAATGCAAGGCAAGGGTTCCATAGTGTCTTCCTCAAACAGCACAAAAATAAGTAAACAGCAGAAACAAAGAGACAAAACTTAAAAGCCATAAATACCAATTTGTAATCTATTTCCCAAAATACTGCCAGAGAATATCAGTAAGGGCAGCTTATTTGAATTAATAAGAGGATCTTAAATTTGAGTAAGAATGAACTTTTTAACAGGAGCTTTGGACATTCTTGTCCAATCAAAAAGAAGTTGGATAATATTTCCCCAACAAACCTGTTTTTTTTAAAATTAATCACCATGATAAGTGCACAGTGCCAAAATATACAGTACCACTTCAGATCAAAAGCGACCATGAACTACATGACTCACAAGCATAATGTAAAATAGCAATTTCTGTAAATCACAGCAGCTCAAACACAAAGAAATGAGGACGAGAAATGGCTCAGGAATCTATGAGCAAAGTTACGAAAGTTTGAAAACATAGGAAATGAAGCAGAAGAGCTTAAAATGACGCAAAATACAAGTTTACACAAATGGACAACACTAAAAGAAAGAAATGAAGCAGCGGCCAAGGATGGCAGAAGAAAAAAACAGCTGAGAAGGAAACAGAAGAAACTTAAGATTAGAGAGCAGTCGGGCAAGCAGGTGGACTTTAAAACTGCCAGCACAGCTGTCTTCTGTGAAGGTAAACACTGTTTCAGAGTGGCACCCACCAGCAGCAAGTAGAATAAAAAAGGTGAACAAGCAGGCACTATGGAATACTTTATTGAGATACTGTAGAAGGGAAAAATACTTCATAAAATCTGAAGTACAACCTAAGGTCAGAGAAGATTAAGGCAAAATAGTAAATCCGCGTATGTCAAGTTCCCGGCAGAACAACTCCAAAGTATCAAAAGACAGCGCGGTTCTCCAGCCCTGCCTGGGAGCCCGGACAGCAGGAGACGGTGGGCGACTTCCCCGCAGCCACCGCAGCTTCAGAAGCAAAGCAGCTCAGGATTTAAAACCTGACAGCAGAAAGGACAGACTAAGCTTAAATGAACAGGGTAGGGAGATACCAAGTTTAAGAACTAGGAAAGCATTTCTCAGGAACTCGCTAATCTAATTTTGCCGAGGAGCTGAGGAAGGCGAGTTACTGGGGGAGGTACTGGGGGCGCGGGGGGTGCCTGTAAGAGGTGAAGGGGGACACCAGCATTTTGAAAACAGGGCGGGAGGGGGGAAGGAAAGAGGAAAGGAAGAAAGGCCCGAGAACCGAGAGAAGCACCTAGGGGGTTCCAAGCACGCAGAAGGCGGACGCACAGCCGTACAACCCGCCCCC